TATATATATATATATTTTAAAGATCATAATGCTTATTATTTTAAAAATCGTATGATATATATATATCATAATATCGTATGATACTGTTACTGTTATTAATCAATCTCCTAGTTTAATGAGTTAGGGACTCAAAATGCAATTATTAAAAAAATGATGACTGATCTAATATATAACACTCTCAGTAACTTGGATCAATAGACAACGGCCATTATTAATTGAAATAAGATTGCTTATATGCAACAGATTCCATGACTAACGCTTTTCTGACAACAAGTAGTCAAGAATATTCAAAGCTACAATTACTAATAATATGAAGATAAACGAAAAAAAATATTTTCATAACTAGTGTCAAGAATTCCAAATAGCAATAACAATTTTAATTAATTTAGATAATTTATTAGAAAGATTTGACTAGTGAATCAAAACTATGATTTATTAAAGCAAGTGCTTTCAGCATGTAGCAACAAAAGTGATGTGGTACTAAACAAAAATACCATGGATGCAAAAAAAATAACTGCAGATTAATGAAATTATGTACTACAAATAACTGCAAATTAATGAAATTATGTACTAAGATAATACTTCAGAAAAACTTTCATATGATTTTATCATAATTGCTTTAACCTTATAGATATCGTATAGAATTATTCTATCTTTATCTATGAGTAGAATTTTATCAAGAAAATGTTTAAGCATACATAGTAACATTCTCTTTTATTTTGTTGACATCAAATCGTTTTCCTTCCGTTGATGTTATGTTGCGATTAAGAGCATCGCGGAACATTTGCCGAATATTCTGACGCAAATACTGCCAACAATTTCGTAGCAGTTCTATTTCTTTTCGCCGCTTCACATCCAGAAGTCTAAAACTGCCTCAATAATATTCGAAAATAAAAGTGCCAATTTTATTCTCATGTGCACAAGTTCGATATATTGAAAAAAAAATTGACTGAAACGATTTCTGAAAAATTAACTCTTTTTGCTCGTTGAAAGCATTATGAATGTCGACAAAAAGTGTGTGCCAAACGAATATAACAATATGATTGGCAGATACTTACTGCCACTGAATATAATCCTTACACCTCCAGTGACCATAAGCGCTTGAATCCAAGCCCTTGGAATTTTTCGATACAGGTCGATACTTGCCGTTATTGTTCTAATACATGAACTTTTTCCATAATAAAATTGTTCAATGAAAACAAGAAAAGATAGAATATGTTAAGTTTCCAAATTTTTAAAATACCAAATACTTTTTTTAATGAAAATAAATGCTATATTTCTTTGTAACACTAGAAATCACTAGTAGATGATATTATTAAGCATACTTACAAGTAAAACCGTTTCTAACTATTAAATGCGCCCTTCCCATCATTTCATACAATCATCAAAAATGTAATGAGCCTAAAAGCAGTTGGCTGCAATTCTGACGGAAACTTTGAAGTGCGTCTTTTTAAAAATGACGGAATTGGTTGAGTAATGAAAATAATATGATACTGACCAGAAGCGCCTTCCTTGCACTGTTACAAGCAAATTTTTGCTTACAAAATAAGCAATTAATACTGAATTTTTTGCTATCCGTCATCGTGTCAAGAGAAAATTTAAAACTCTGTTTAGGTCGAGAAGTTGCAGTATTCCAGTCATGCTTCTAAAACTACTACTTACTGATGTTTGTAGACTGCAATAACTTAATTTACAAATTTTTTCATTTTAACAAATCTTCAAGCCTTCGGCATAAGACTTGGAACTTATCAACAGCTGGAAGAAGATAAAGCAAGAATCCTCCACAAAAACTATGATGAAGTTCCAGCTTGAAACAAATAATAAATGCCACAATATAGCAGTCAAATATTTATGGTTTTGGATATCAGACTGTTGTGCTAGAGCAGATAGCATTGCATCGAATTAAATTTACTGCCTATTTTTTACTTTCCATATAATGTATACCAAGTACGATAAGCGGCTTCACACAGATAAGTTCACGGGTATCATACCAAAAAATTTTAGTTACAGATTCTTCTAAAGAATCTAGAAACTTTTTATTCTTAAGATTTATATTTCAAAATTTTTCCTTTGTTATGATAAAATAAAGAAATTATGCACCAGAAAAGATCGCTGTATTATATTAAACTGCAATAATAAAACTATGCCAGATAATTAAATTCTGAATTTGAAGAAAGTTATTCCTTCCTTATACAGAACGCTATGATCAGAATACCTGGCATCTCCTATAAATTCATTCACTAAACTACTGCCGCTAACACCAGCAAGTATCTTGGAAAATATGTGACACAAATTAATTCCTGATAATTTTCTAGTTCACAAATAGCCTTTATCAATAAAATTAGTCATCATTCGCTTTATTATTTGATAAGATTATTTATTAGCTTCATTATTTAATCAAATTTCCAGTACTTCACAGGTACATTGTCAATCACCTGTTATGCCTCAATTTTGTTGATAAGTGTAAACTGCAATTCCAATGACATCAAGTCAACTACAGTGAATTTAACCATTCACCTCCTCAACTTCTTCATTGTCTCCTTCTTACAGGTACCAGAGTATACTGCAAATGGAAAAAAACGCTATCAACACTAACCTTACGAATATGTTTGCGAGTATCTTCCTTCAATCTGTTCTCTGTGTAACTTGTGCTGAATATATGACTCATCTTAATCTGACCATCAACAACAAAAAGCTTACAAACATCTTGTGTTACACTGACCAAGACAGTAAGATGGTTACCAGTCAGATTAATACAAGTTATCGACGATCAACTCTGATGTTAAATTCTATGTTCATTTACTTTCATTCCTTCAAATTTGAGGTTAGTTTCAAGTCAATGTTAGGACGATTTTAATAAACCGACAGAAATGTACGCATTTATCTTTAATTTCGCACTAACAAATCTATGTCTAAACTTTTCAAACCATTATAATGAACAAACTTTTCAAAAAGCAGTAATTATTTCAACATGAAATCTTTGCCCAAGTCTGTTAATTACAGATTAAGTCACTGTTTTGGTTTTTTTGTTTACAAAGGGATACAAAAAATGTATATAAATTAAGTACGATTACTCATTTTACTTTGATGTCATTTTCAATCAAAAATGAAGGCTCAAGCATACGTTTATAACGTGTACTATGATATGGCAGATATTTTAGCATATTATACAATTACAAACTACAAAATAAACCAAGCATAAAGTAATTCAGTGATATATATATTATATATATAAGTAAACTATATCAGTGATATATATATTGATATTTATATATTTATTTATACACAATGTATGTATTTATAAGTTTTGAAGCACATGAAGGTTATCACTATTACTAATTTGTTTCATATATATATATATATATATGAAATTCATATGAATCATTATACACATGAAATATATATATATATGCGCTTAAATACTTAGATATATTCATGCATGTACAAAGCAATTATTAATATATATCATATAAATGAGGGGGTAAAGTAAACTACATCAGTTCCTGATTACTTGTGCAGTGATATTGCATAGAATAAATATGCACTGATTCGCACGACGCCCGCAGCGCACACAACTACCGATCAATGCGTCTATCTGAAGCAAACACATGACCAGTACTGACTTCTCCACTATTTTCTTGCCCGCATCGCAACAACTGCAATGATACACAAGTCCTACGGTGCCCCGCATCTGTACCACCAATTGTCCGTCATTACCTGTCCAAATAAATAAGTACATCCGTGCATAATTACTTCCGTACCATTCACACAACTCCATCCTTTCTCTCTCTCCACACACACACATGTATTGACATTAAATTATCCATGTGTCAAATCAATAAAAATATATATGTCACTTTGTGCATTTATTCTTCTTATTCTTATTTAGCACAGACACGTACGACTGGTTCTCGCTTTATTTAATTTTTTTTATTGTTGTTCATTTTGTTCAGCTTAATATACCCTGCATTTCAAACTCTGTCACTAATTATGCTCCTCAGAATACTTCACAACAGTAGTAGTATCTCTATTATGTCGACTTGCTATACTTCCTTGTCTCCATATATTAATATGCTCCATTTCTTCTAGCACTGAAAACCACGTGCACCTTTGCTCACCAACGTCTTTAACTTTACAGTACTATCTTAATTAAGGTAGATCCAAATTTATTTGAAGTGCAAATGGATAAGGATGTTAACCATAACAAAATTAAATACATCTTAATAATCTACTGTCACTAATAGACTTTTCGATTGGACCGGACGTACCTTCTCTTTGGTATGTTTTCAGACATAGCTCTGCCGTTCAACATGCCTACTCTCTTCCTTACTAATCACTCACCACTTCAGTTATTACGGATTTCCACTTTCGAAACTAGTAATTATAGTTAAGGAACCTGATATAACGTATTCATCCTACAATGGCTGGACATATCCAGCTTCAGTTGCAAAAAAACACCACCGATCCCCTTTAATCACGCCTTTATTAAAACACAAGTTCATAAAACTTTACCAATTTTTAGCATATAACTGGCGCTAAAATACAGAATTTACGTGGAAACCATCACCTATGTCGTAGCACTCTTCCTTTTTTGACAATTCACAAGTAAGCAATCAATACACACTAGTACGCGAGTAACATCCCCATTATTTACAATACATAGGTACTACATTGAATATAACTAGAAAAAGCACAAATCCGTAAGAATAATCAAGGCATACGTAGAAAAGATATAGCACATATACAATGGATTTTTCATCTGCAACTGTTTACATTGATTATATTCTGAGAAAATTTATACAAAAATAATTTTAAACTCAGTAAATCCCCGACCTGTTTCATACACTATTTTCTATACAAAAAATGGGTATTAATCAGCATGATATGATGTGTTACAACATTCCCATACTAATTATATGAGTAAGAGAGTTCAAGGGTAATTTAACATCACAATGATCTGCATTATGATCTCACAACAAAGCGAACAAGGCAAAAATATATGTACACTTATCATATACTCCTTTCAACCAACAAATATGCATCAGTGAGTAAACAATGCTTAAAAAAGTATGTGCTTATCACGTAGAATTCGAATCTCGAATTTTGTTCAGTAGTTGAAAGAGAGCAACATAAGTCTCAAAACATTCAAGCTTTTTTTGTGCAAACCTTGAATGTTAATCAATAACGCACTTTTCCAAATACTTCATTAACAGAAACCAGTAGGTTTTACTATAATACATAAGAAAAAATACTGTTGAGGGGTATGACAGAATATGTAGCGAAAATGAAAGAATTAAGAAATAATTTGACGTAGAAAAAAATGCCACTACAATCCATAACACATTAATAAGTGAGACTAAATTCCAAATAAAACTATTATATATTGAACACATCAAATGCAGAAAGGCTCTCTTCCAGAAGTATTTAACCATAGCTTGTAGGAACTATCTCACGAAAGTATGAAACACCTAACATCTGCACTTGATTACGCAAGTAATCACATTCTACTAACTCACGAGCAGATGGACGAAGTTCAGGATTAACAGCCGTCAACCATGAGATGAATTTTTTCTGAAAATATAGCGATAAATTCTCAAGTCCACGTCTTAATCATGCTACTTTAGAACTGCAGGAGGCATAACAAAGAATCTTATATATAAAAAATAAGGTGGGAAGGGAAATTACTTGAACTATTTATTTTCATACTTGACAAAATATTAGAAAAAACTGTAACTAATAAAAAACAAAACAAGAGAAGTTTGCACATAAAATAAAAGAAACCCAATTACCTCTTCAGGTCGGCATTCATCTAAACACTTCGGCATGGTACCGCTTTGCAAGTTTGACAAAATGTGATTACGTTCCATAACCGTTTCAAACGGTATAATGAGTTCAACAAAAATAAGTCCAAGCGAGAAAACATCAACTTTTTCATTGTAAGGTTTAGCCATTAGCTTAATGAAAACAACTGTTAAGCAAAATTTCCGATCAGTTTGTTTTATTAATATATAGCTATCTATACATTAATAAAACTGTCACAGACTGAAAATGAGAACATTCAAAGCCAGCATTAAATGTTCAAGTACCTGTTCAGGACTCATGTATAAGCGAGTACCGACATTACTAGTATGAGGAATGTTTGCTATATCGTTTTCTTCGCAATCAGTAGTCTGTTTTGCACTGATATAATTTGTTGCAAGACCGAGATCGCCAATTTTCAAACAGTTATCAGCAGAAAAGAAGATATTTTGAGGCTGTAATCATGTATTAAATGATTAATAAAGCAAATTCCATGAATTCTATATAACAGGAATGACATAAAGCACACCTTAAGATCTCTATGAATGAGTCCCTGACTGTGAATATAATCAATGGCACAAACTAATTCTGCTAACCATCTACGCATTTGATTTATTTCCCGATCCTTTTTATTGTTTAGAAGCCAACTGTGGAGCGTCAATTCTTGACAAAGCTTAAAACATCCTGCATTATAATTTTGAAAGATAACTTTGTGTTAAACAATGTAGCGTATTGAAATATTTGCGATAAATAATAAAAAAACTGGACTTCTCATATAACAAGGACAATTACCTCCATCTGTATGTAAAGATATACGCAGTCTTTTATGCTTTTATAGTTTTGCAAGTCCGACATACTTGCAACTAGAACAACGGGAGGATCAAGTGTATTTGGCGTTCCATTCTTCTGTAATTTACTTTTCTCGACTACTGGAGAGGACGACGAATTCTCACTGTGAGCAAAAACAATATACGATGAATCGTCGCTATCAGCTGAAAGCCTCTTAAACAGTTACAAATCCAAAATTCATTATAAATTCATGTAATCACTGATATGTAAATCCACTGTAAGTATTTAAGGTTCTAGAAATTACTCTCAATTTGTTCCCTTAATCCTTGCATCATCATCATCTTACACTGACTGACAATGATCTACAAAACTTAACATAAAACTAATACTGTGGAACTTCTTTGAATCCAAGTCTTTACATACAAAATATTTCTATGTAAATCTAAAACTTAAGCACTTCACGTAAGACAAAACTGTAATATTGAAAAAATTTGAAAACTACTCAACAAGAAAGCTATCAGAAAAGTTTCAATAAAATTCCCAATTAAAAATAACGTCTATAAGCTCACTTTTTACATCAACGGAATAATTATTTATACATTACCAATATATAAGAAATCAAAGAGATAGTCACTAAAAAATTACCTGCTACAGCAGTAATTTGATGCACCAGAAGATTACTATCACTATCAGTTGAGGACTCTGATTCTGTAGACGCTTCTACTCCAGTGCCATTCGTAGAGTTCATCCATGAGATGTCCTTTGTATCACCAGTGGAAGCACCATCTTTATCCATAAGAAATGTTTTCAAATGTAATTTAGATAATTTCTCACTGAATGATAGTTCCTAAATTAATGAACACACAGTATTAGATATATGAAAAAACAAAAGTTATATGAAAGATTATATGAAAGATACTTATTGTATTGAACTATTAAATGGTACTACCAGCATATTTAAATATATTATACCAATATTCTTGTATTGCCAAAATCAAAATCACTGTATAATAATTTTGGCTTTCCTTATCATATTATACCAAAATAATTATTTATACACTACCAGTATATAAGAAATCAAAGAGATGGTCACTAATATTCAAAGAATCCGTAAAACGCACTCACTAATTATAACAAACATATAACTCATTCACCTCAGTAGGATTTCTTGCCTGATTGATTTCCTGATTACTTTCTACCGTTAAAACCATAGATTCATCTTCCGAATCAGCAATAGAACGACTGAAAATGTAATAATAATCAGGAAAGACTAGAAGAAGGGGAGGTGCCAAAACGAAAAACGAACATATTTTTCAAAATTTCTTTATCTTTTGCTTGCTGCCAACCAGACGGCGGTTTTTCCATCCACGTATGGAAATAACGAATTATTCCTGGATGCTCGAGACGCGCCATTGCACGAGCTTCTCGCTTAACATGTTCGATTGCTGAACTCCTGAATGAATGAATAAGCGATTCATTATTTTCACAAGACTGTGAGAATATCACATACCAAAAAAGATCATGAAATAAAAACAGAGGATTAGAAACATTAGAGTCCCAAAAGCAAAAATATAGAGCATATTGATGGGAAGCGAAAACGCAGTATCTTTGCTTTCGATAGATGAAATTTTTGAAAATCTATAGATAATATGAGTGCATATTTGATGACCTCCTCATTTAATAAACTTGATCTAAATCATCACTGAATACGCCCAATATTTTCTTCTTCGTTATCTTAAGACTCCGAAATTGTTTTGCAACCTATTTTTGACAATTTTAAAAAGAAAACATAGACATACGTGTTACTGACTGCGATACGCTTTACGGCATAATTTCGATCATCCAATCGATTACGACAACTGAAAACAACACCGTATCCCCCTCGTCCAAGCCATTTTTCAGGCGAAAAATCTTCGAGAAACCTATATAATGCTTCAGGTTCAGAAAATGTGAAAATATCTACAATCAAATAATGCTGTCCGTAAATGCAAGAACTAACTTTCCACCACTTACATCGATGAAACCTGTCTTGAAACACAGGCAAACAAAATTATTGTAAACTGCGGAACTATAGCTACGATTTCTTACTTTTACACAAATAATTTCTTGAAGAAAAGAAAAAATTGACTAACTTTGATGAATACATGTTTTGAACAGACTGAGAAACTACAGGAACTTTTTTCTGATTATCTGTCAACTCAACGACAGAATTTCTAGGCGAATCTGCTTTTTTTACCTGAAAACATGGCACAAATATTAATTCTAATATGAAAAATGCTAAATATATAGAATCTCCATTCAGTTTACATTAACTGCCCTCAATTTTAATCACTGAATATTCAATTTTTATACAGTACTTAAGAAATATTTCCAACATTTTTCAACAAGTAATTTAAATTCATTTAAAAAAGCGCTATCAAAATGCATTTAGATATAATTCAAAAGTTATAATACAAAATAATTTTTCTGCTAAATTTTTCTGAAGTTTATATAAATATAAATTTCAGAATTTGAAATCCATTCAAAACATGAAAATGATATATACCACAAGAAAATGTCCAATAGTAGATATTGCCATATTCTGATGTTTGAATACAGCTTTTTAAAAATGATGCTGTCCGACTACAGATATAAAACTATAAAATGCGTTTAATAAACGATTAGTGTTTACTGACAAAATCACTCACCGAAAGAAATTCACTAGATTGCTTCCGAATAATTTTGAATAAAAAAAATAGTGCTTGATATCGAATCTCACGTGAATGCAATATAACAGTCACTAATAAGGTGGCAATCAAAGTCAAGAAAAGTGCAATTATTTTCCTGAAATCATGAATGAAATAATCTAGCAAATAATCACAAATATCAGTGTGTAAAACAGCTTGAGTTTCCATGATAAAATTACTGACAATTGTAAATCCATATACTGAAATGTATTATGAAAGACAATTCTCACCAATATTTCTGCACAAATTTGTTGAAAATCAATAATAATATGAGATTATTGTTAAAACTGATTACGATTATTCTTACCACCATCCAGAGACAGGCTCATGAGCAATTTGTTTCAATCCGTCCAAAACATTCTTTCGTCTGCAGAGATGACTGCGAAGATTGCATACAGTCTCTTTTTGATCTGATTCATGAAAGGGAGCACTTTTTTGGCAGAACTTTCGAGCTGTTTTGAATATGTACCAACCTAGATCACCTGAACAGTTCCTTTAAGAAAAAATTAATGGAACTCAGCAAGTATTCAAAAAAAAAAAAGGTTCATGATAAAAGGTACTGATAGGTAAAAACAATAAATCCACTAATGGAAAAAAAAACACACAAACCTTTTGCAGCATCGTACTTTTCAATTTCTTGAAGTCCTTTACTGCCTACAAGAGTAACTGCGTCGTACATATTACAACTTCGCGACTTTGAAGCGGATGAATGAGATGCATCGTTCCTTAAATCCATTTCCACGATACTTGACGTTCTATACGATCGACGAATTAAATCACCTACAGAACAAATTCAAACGAATCTTCAGAACTGGGCAAAAATCGTGAAGGACGATTGATCGTAATAACTACACTATGCATATTGACACGGAAAACCTACCAACTTGCAAGTCTTCAAAGAAAGAAAATCTAGCATTATGCGACGAAAATGTTTTAGGTTCGTAACGTTTTTGCTCCGCCCTTACCATATGACGTAATTCTTCCCGCATGAATTCTGATGGTATGATATAAGGTTCTGAATTTACAGTTCCTAAAATTAACATCCCTTTAAACTGATATTTGACTTGTCTTAGAAAAGTTATGTTCATAAATACTTCCTTGTATCGACTTTTTTGGAATTTATGACAACTTTTCAATCTCAAATGCTTTTCAAGTATTTCAAAAGCATAACTTTCTCAGTCACAATATATTACGGCAGAAATGAAGAATGTTGATAAAATAAATTTCAGCGATTTGATTTTTACACAAACTTACCGAAATAAAACGGTACTTCATACTTGGAAATGAACTCCTTGCCATTCCCACTAAAATCGCTCAAAGCCTTTAATGTATCATATGAGAACAGTGATATCTGAAACTGCTTATGTGAAGAACAGTACTGCAGAAATAAAGTTTATCACCATTAGCTGAAGAATTTCGCTCTAATGTACTCAGTATTAAGCAAAAAAATTTACAATCAAGAATTAAAACTGATAACCCATCAAAACTCCCAAAACATCCAGTGATAATCTTCAAAAACAAATGCAGCTACCAACCAACCTCAAAGATTTTGCCACGAATCACCTGCCAAACTTTGGCTATTGGACTTGATAGTTGTCTTGACCACTTCACTCTTCCGCAACTATCAACTGCTAAAACGATACCATCCGGTGGCTCCAAAAGAAAGTTCACATGAGTAGGAACATCTACTTTTTCGAAGCGAAAAGAATGGTCAGAAGAAACTATGCTAACGTCGTACTCTCCAACTGACACATTCCACCTGAACACTTTAAAAGTGAAAGTAGTTATGATATTCAAACAGAGTATCTTGTTCAGCGATTATTGACATCCACGTACTTTTCTTCTCCAGTAACAGGATCTGCAGCGCGAGCAATTTGTCCATTTTTCCGCATTATAAGTGTGAAAAATGATGGATCACTTCCAGTAACTTCATACTGTACACAGTTTCCTGATGTACATCGATATCGTATCTATAAATAGATGCCTTTTGAAACTAAATACAAAATTAAAATTAAAAAATAATCTCTATAACATATAAAGTCAGTAACACGGTTAAAAAGGTATAAACCTGGCAAAATGTACCTTGCCATTGAGGGGATCGACTCCGGTAGATGTAACAAATGTACCACCAGCAATTTCGTCATCTCCAATCATAATATGCATATCAGTGCCCAATGGAATAGGGCTTAATGCATTAGTTTTTGCATTGAACATGAATAAAGAACCATCAAGTGACGGAACCAACATATATGGATAATTATCCGATACTAACTATAATAATTAATATTAGAAACCAAGACAGGAGACAAAATACAGGCATATATAATGAGATTATACACCGCATATTAAGTTTATTTATCTGAATCTTACCTTCGCTTTAGAGAGCAAAAACAAAATTTCAGCAGAATTTTGGCTACCAAGTATCTAGTTTATAAAAACTTTTAATGCGTTTTTTTTAAATAGAAAAGTTATAAAATAAATGGATCAGCTTTAGAAGCTGTAAATAACTCACATGTTGCTGGCTGAGTGAACTAGACAACAAAGGCATTTTATCTGCATCTACTGTCCACACTACTTCACCATTTCTGTTGATATCCATAGCAGTCACTTTTCCATCCATAGTACTAGCCTTGAAGATATTTTTGTTTAAGTAAATTTAAGCATCCACTGAAACCTTTTTTATGATCGTTTTACCACAAACACTCAGAAATCGACAAGCAAAATTATACCAACAGATAATGCTTATTGATAAAGCCTGCAGTATCAGCTGAACAACATTTTTCACCATTTTGTTCTGATGGATAGTTGGAGAATATCTGCAATGATATTCTGTATACTTAAATTTTATCTACATTAATATACGTTCTCACGAAAAGAATAAATAAAGAAATTAATGAAATAAGAGAATAAATGCAAATATGTACACATTTAGCTGAATATAAAAAATGCGATAATACAAATTTTAAACTAGCCACAACCTCTTCCTTTTCATCCTCGACATATACATGTTCGTGTTTATTACTCGAGGATATGGGAAAGATAGATATTGACAGTAAAATCAATGCCCCAGTAACTAACGAAATGAATGTTCTATTCATAACTTTTGATTTCACGAAGAAAGCAACTAATGATAAAAACAAATTTTTTCTTGAAACCAAAAGTTATGGCTTCACGATTACATATCGTTAGGACTGAACAGCAAGTTTGAATCAAGCTCCTGAAATGTTTCTAAATACAGCTAGACGAAAAAATAATTTTACCAAATTTAAAATGTTCCCTCAATATTACATTACTTTTTGTTTCAAGATAAAGTTATTTGTTCCTTCAAGTTATTTTTCCAGATTTAAAATTTAAATTCCATAATCATATTTAAATAGTTTCAAACTGATTGCAGTTAGCTGACAGTATATGGAAAAAAAATTAATAAGCTTACCACGATCGGAAGGCAAAAAAATTACTCCATTGAACTGAGAAAAATACAATGGATAAATTTGCATAACAGACGTAAACGAAAGTGCCTTAGCAGCGTGTCTTATCAGATGCCATATCTAATTCTTTTCTGATTGTGTAATACAGTGGCTAGTATAAATATCAAATCTTCTTTGCTGTTGATGTTTAATACAAGAATTGCAGTAAGATTTATAGTTTATCACGACCTTTACCCTGCAGTACACAAATTCAACACATATTGATGACAAAGCAGAACAATTTCTTGGAATGACAAGCCATCCTACTGACTGAAATTAGTGTCTCGTTATGGTACTGTAATAGAATTTCAATTACAAGCATAATATTTCGCGAATGAACCAATTTGACCGAATAGGTAATTTGTGGCTTGTTGAGAGACATTGTACAATTTTTTTGAGTATGAAAAAATGAAAGTAAGTTTGAGTTTGAGTAGAGTGATGTTAGTTAGGGAAAGATGGTATTGTTGAGATAGTTATGGAGATAAAAACTAAATACATGACAACTTTATTTCAGGTGTATCAATTACTTCAAGGTTTTCTTTTGCTGTGTGAGGTATCTGAAGCATAAGGATGAGCTTATTTTTCTTTTCTAGAAAATAAGACCATTAGTTGGTTTCTACCTGACAAGTGATAATCTTTACTTACTGTTGAAGAACTGGAATCTCAAATGCGAGGACTAAAGCAGTGTTGTCTGGTCCATCCAAATATTTGACATTCCTTAAAACTTTAGTACATTTAAACATTTAATTAAAAATGCTACTTGATAAAAAGTATAAGTGTTCATTGCATTCAACTGCATTTCTACTTCCCACATAAATGCCATCTTTGCTGCTTTTCTGTGAATTGATTTTGTAAAGTTTTGCACCAATATTTGTTTTCTAGTTGAAAAGATTCTGTTGCGATATTTCAATGATGAACTTCTCAAGTACTCCATTCTATGTTGCAAGAATTAAGAATTAATTCCAAAATTGGAATAATAAAAAAGTACTGCTTAACAAAAGATTAAATACATACATCATTGTGCTCTTCTTTTTTTCAATGTCATACTTTCTCTCTGTCTTGCCATTGGAGTGTTGTTTGCGTTCATTAATTAAATGCATTGAAAAGGATTGAGAGCAAAGCTAAAGGAAGAGAAAATGGTATGAAAGAAGTGTTGCTTCAGCATTAGCATCAATGTATGATATAACTTCACTGATCTGAAACAGTTTTTTGAACTTTGGAAGGAAGAAAGACTGGAATGAGGAATGAATGCTTCATGGAAATAAGAAAATTCTTGAACAAAGCCTGCATTGGGAGAAATTTCTTCCTTAATGTATAAAAATTCTCTTCCAGTCGCAAAATATGGTTCTTTAATTGCAGTGAATATGTTTGAAGGTTTTTGAAACTTATTTCGTATTGCCTTCTTGAAATTCTTCACTTTTTGTCAAAATATGAACAGATATTGAAAATTGAAATTTTCATCAATGATTCTGAACACTGATCTAAATTTACTTTGATCCATGCAAACTAAGCTGATGGTAATTTGAACAGCTATCGAAAGTTATACTTTTGAAATTAATTCACTCAGAACTTTTCTCCTCAGTTTCTGCCTTCGCTAATTTTATTTTACCTACCAAAAATACGTCTACACATGACGTTCAGTAATGAGTTACAATGAGAAGTGTATTATGTTTACGAGAAGTGAATTATTGTTACTTCACAGTAACTAATGAAAAACCTGTCTGTACAAATGACAACTGTGTGTAGATGAAGGAACATTGTGAATAATTGTGTTAGTTAAATATGGGAAAGAAATAATAAAATCTTGAGGCCTCACGTAACTTTCATGTTCTGATTTCTTCTGTAATCGAAATGAATGTTTCAACTAGTAACTGCTTCTGTTGTACCTAATAATGTTGCAATGTGTATGTGAGAAGAGCATACTTTAAAAGTGAGTATCACGTGCACCGATTATCTGCTAATAATTGTTTTTCATGCAGCAAACTTTTATCGTTCTATTGTAGTAGAGCATGCATGAGTATTTTTTCGGTGCTATCTGCTCCACCACCATACGGTTTTTCTTTGGCTACCAGAAATTAATTCCGGTTGCTCTCTTATAGTAAATAAGTAGTACTCAGTATTCTATGTGTATTACTCGGTGTTTATTTATATGGTGATAGCCCATATGTAAAAAATGACTCTTCTCAAATAGGTGGGGTCGATTTGTATATGTCTTTATGATAAACTCTGCAGCAGAATGGATGAGTTAGGGATAGAATGTTTCGAGATGTATTGCCAGGAAATAGAAGAAAGACTAGATGGCGGGAGATAGTTGAAAAGAGTATTGCTTGTAAGGCTTTTCTGTTGCTTTCGTTCACTGTAGCACCTTCATTTCTTCTCTTTTTACAGAAGCATTTCCCCTCCATTTTATATCATTTGAACTGTGCTAATAATGGTGAGGTGATAGGAAAAGGACAGTAGTGGGCAAGGGTTCTCTCCTTAGAGAATACTTATATAAATCAGTCAGTAATACTCTTATCGTCTTTGTTCGTCTAATCGATCTTGGCATTACACATCCATTTCAGAGCACTCTTTTCTTCGTGGGGAAGAATGAATGTTGTTGATTCATGGAAGGATCAGTTTTTTGGCTGTTTGCAAATTAATCTTCATATCTAAAAATGGATCAGTAATTTTTTAACGATCTATGCTAAAAAAATTAGCTATTTGTCACTTGCTCTTTATCTATGGTCATCTATCACTCCTATTCCTATGTCATTAATCTCTATCTTTATTGTTGTCTTCCATTTTCCTATCCATTAATGTATTTGAAATCGAAAATTGAACGCAAATTTTAGGTTTTTTGGTGTTGGTTAAGTTGTCAAAGCTCCAGTAATTTATAGTTCAGTCCTAGTAAACACTATGTATATATAAAT